GAGGTTTACAAAGTACATGCATCTTCACTTCCGGCCCACAGGGTCCACACCGCTCTCAATTTGCTGCAATGGTTTGCCAGACTTTCACTCTATATAAATATAGGGAAACAGTCTATAAAAGAGATTAGCGTTCTAATAGGTATAAGGAGGCTATACAGAGAAATAAAAAATAGAAAAAGGAGAAGCCATGAGATATTGCACCTGTGGTAATGTGCTGCAGAAATCCCGAAGGAATCGGAAGGATCATACCTGGTTTATCTCAACACCGTCAGATGTCTCAAGTCCATATGCTTAGGTTCAGTAGTACATGGACCCCTAGTTCCTTTTTAGTGGAGTTGTTTTGCTTGTCTCAACGGGGTGGATTACCGGGCCGCGAATGGCATGTTTCTTAGCTGTCTTGGCTGTCTTCTCCCTCGCAGATAAGCAATTCCTGTAGATCTTGCCTAAAGATAGGAAAATATCAAAGTTCTATCTCCTCATACTAGTCATAAGGAATATACCATAATACTACTAGCACCGATTGTTAGGATGCTACCTAGGCACACACCAATGAGAAACCAACGTTAACTAACGTTCTACCAAAAAGACTATAGCAACTTGTCATGTCAGGTTTCTTCATATATCCAGCTGTCTTAACCTACTCTCGGAATCACACCAGATCATACGAATGCGATTTGTGTATCCACTCATATGTACGAAAACGATTCGTACACCCACTCATATACGAATGCGAGTTGAATACTCTGGGGTCGTAAGACTAATTGAGACTCAAAATTGGGTACCTTGACAAATCAAATTTCCGGGCCAAATCTTCAGTGAATTGATCTGCAGGAACTTACCTCGTTCAACTAGGTTAACGCTATTCTCTAGCTTATAATTGCAGATTATTTAATTTAAGTTGCATCATTTATCGGAGAGATTTCGGAGAAATGATAACTGTTATTCAGTTATTCACATGGTGGTATAGATAGAGCCTGTAAGTGTTAAATAGAGCAAGATGGCCCCGGGATATACTCCCAATCATCGAACTATCGCATCCAAACTTCTCAAATATCTTCAACCCAATCCTCAATTTTCACAATGAAGGTCTTCAGTCTCTTGATGCTGCTTGCCACTGCCGGAACTACTCTGGCAGCTACCTGCAAAGGCTCGAGACAGTGTGAATGTCTGTTCCCCGACAAGTCGCACTGTTGTCTCTACGGATCCGTATGTCTTCCGATGATCTTGATCAGTCTGGGAACTAACATAAGACATAGAACGAAATGACTGGTGATGACTATGATTGCACAAAATTGTGTGCCGGTGCTAGTCGAATTCTCCAGAGTGGCGAAGATACCCCAGCAAAGTGCAATGCAGGTGGTGCTTTCGCTTGTGCCTCTATCTTCACTGCGCAGGGTCGTACTCCATGCTACAACAACGCCGCCTAGGTATTTTGCCCCAAGATATACCCACGAAAGTTATTTCTGACGTTCGTCGAGTGATTAGGTAGTTTCGGATTAAATAGCATGAATTCTCTTTGAGGGCCAAAGGTTGGAGCCACGAGCTTAGGGATTTGTACAGCAGGCGGAAGACAAGACGATGTGGATAGAAACCTGGGCTGTTTCAATTCGGGTCATAGACATTACTGGAACGAGAGGCATCGACCATTTAACCGCAATATGAATCCAGTTCCCTATATAATTACTACATGATACCAGGTAGAGTACCTAATAGTTCTGTACCAGAGCATTAGACTATTCCTGAGTGTTGTCAAATTATAAAGAGTCACTGAAGTTCCAAAAGGTGGTTATACGCAGGTAACAATGTATAATTCAAGACGAATAGCTAAACTTGCATGAATGAGTGTTCTCATATACCATTTGTACCTACTCCCTAACCTCTTTGGATGTATGCTCCTGCTCAAGTGGATAGGTAGGTATAACTATAGATCCCCGGGGCCACCTGGGCAGGAGCCCCGCTTATGTAAGCGGCTTACCCCGCAAAAAGGCCCTTATCAAAAACGGCCTTGATACTTCTTTCATTGTAAGGGCGAAGGTCGGTTTTGCCTCTAGAATACTTTAAATCTCAGGTCAAAGGAACAAATTTTATCCTTTACAATGCATCCATGTAAGAATGCTGTTGATATTCGTTTTCTTGCCGCGCCAGCATAAATCCGAGATCTGCCGAGGTCCCTCGGTGATGTCGCCGGACTACGCATATCCCTGCGACTTATAATGTGACTTGCATCTCAGTTGCAACGTCATCAAACCTCCTAAAATACCCTACGCAAACCATAGGAACGTTCATAATCCTCCGAAATGCAAGCTGTCGTTTTCAAGGGCCCCTCAAAGGTAGCCATCGAGCAAAAGCCCATCCCTCAGATCCAAGATCCTACAGATGCCATTCTGAAGGTGCGATACACTGCATTATGTGGCAGGTAAGAAATCAAGACCTATTCCTAACACCGCACAATCGCTCATATTTCCAAAGTGAACTCCATGTCTTTCGCGGCCACCAAAAGTCTGGCACAGAGTTTATCATGGGCCATGAGTTTACGGGTGAAGTTGTCGAGCTTGGCTCCGACATCAAGAACTTCCAAAAGGGAGACCGAGTAGTCTCACCCTTTACTTCCAGCTGTGGGGAATGTTTCTACTGTGAGCGTGGTTTCTCCTCCCGGTGCGCTCGAAGCCAGCTATTCGGCACTGTTGCACTTGATGGCGGACAGGCCGAGTATGTGCGTATCCCACTAGCCGATTCAACTCTTGCCAAAGTCCCAGCCTCAATCGACGAGAAGAAGCTAGTTCTTATGGCCGATATATTTCCCACCGGCTACTTCGCCTCTCTGAACGCCTTCTCTGGCACGACACCGGAGGAAATTCAAAAAAGCACGGTACTACTCTTTGGCTGTGGTCCTGTCGGTATCTGCGCACTTATCAGTGCTCTCGATTACAAACCGAAGAATTTGATCGCAATAGATAGTGTGCCTTCCAGACTAGCGCTTGCACAGAGTCTAGGAGCCGAGGCTTGGAATTTCAAAGAGGATGAAGAAGGGTTGCGTCAGAGGGTAAAGGATCTTACTGACGGCCGTGGAGCGGATATTGTTATCGAGGTCGTTGGACATAGTAGCGCTCTCAGGATGGGATTCGATTTGTTACGGCCCTGGGGCCGGATATCGAGTGTCGGCGTTCACAATCAGGATATCCCGTGGACTGGGAATGAAGCCTACGCAAAGAACCTTCGTCTACAGATGGGCCGATGCCCTGTTCGGAGTATGTTTAATTCCTCATTTTACTCTGATTGTTTTGCTCACTTGTGACAGGTATCTTTGGCTCGGCGATGGATCTCTTTGAGAAGAAGCAAGACGTCCTCAAGTGAGTTTGGCTAACCCCGTATTCTATGCTTTGCGAGTCTAATAATCCCTAGCTTCATGTCTCAAGATATCCGTCCCCTCTCACAGGCTGTTCAGGCGTAAGTTCTTCTCATTCGGATCTTGGTCCCCTATGACTGACCCTTTGGCAGATATGACGATTTTGATAATATGCGGGCCCACAAGGTGATTTTTGAGGCGGATAAGTGAACATGTCTACTAGCAAGCGGGATATTCTAGATGGATGTCCAATGAATATGATTGACCCCGAGGAATATAAGAGATATTCCAAGGAAGCAACCGGAGAGAGGTGTCCCTTTTCATAGAGTAATATCTAGCATGCTGTACTCGGGAAGTATGTCACTACTCAGTAGATGTAGTGGTTTGACTGGAAATTTTGCGCACAGACCTTGATAAAGAAACTGGTCAAATGCATATATCTTGATGCTTGTTGTCTTTGGAACCTTCAAATTCTTACCCATGGAGAAAATCCCTATAGAAGAAATCGATCTATTTTGCAGAAAGTATCTCTCCATATAAATATATCAAAGTGGCCTCAATGAAAGGGCCTATTAGTCTTTCGTAGTGAATATATCTAGATTAGCGTTTAGAAAAACCACACATGCGGCCCCTGTGGTAATGCTACCGGGATTGTAAACCCGCGGAAAATTGATGGCTGGATACATCCCGCCTTGCCTTTTCTTGGGAAACTATCCTACTATGGTATCTGTATGCTAACATAGTATGCCAAGGCCAAGATGGTTGATCTTACGCCCGACCCCATTATCAGATAGGCCCAAGATGTTTGAGCTGTGTGACGATTGCCCTCTCTTTTTATAGGCTGTAGTCTGTGAAAATATGTGTATCCGGTTTCGTTGTCCTGCGGGAACTCTTGCTACAGGCCGTTGAAAAGATTATCATCGTAGCACTATGACAGTTGAGGTTGAGCCATATGTAATCTCACGTAAAATGAAATGGCTTGCTTTTGAGAGAAAAACTTGAACTGCAATAGTATAAAGGACAAAGGTAACCCTCTAAGCAGGTATCACTGGTAGCTAGCAATGACAATACAGTCCACACTGCGAACAAATATGATATAAGGCTAATACTCCCATGGGGTAAGACCCTGATAGCCCATAGACAAAACCGATAATGCAAATTTTAGACATGGATTGTCCAAAACCTCGGCAATCGGCCGAAATGACCACAAAAGCGCCAATTGAGACTCTGGGTACAGATCGAGGCTGGACACGAATACTTCCCCATACTTTGATAGATATGTCCCAAATCCGGGGAACCAATCCGGGGGAATAAACCCGGAGACATCACGTATACAGGTAGTTTGCATCGAGCATTGGAAGTGGTACTGAGTAGCTTAATTGGTCACAATGCGTGGGCACTCATTCGCCCTTTGAGTTGCCCATTCCCACTAGAGTATTTGACGCCAATTGATTAAACATCTACTGCCAGCATCAACCAATAAAATCGACATAGTGCTTTGAAGCAAAATGGACCATTTGGTCCCCGCTTTACTGTAGCTAGATGCTGCCCAGGTGGTCTTTGAGATATAAATAAGGCATCGCTGGTAGTGACTGTTGATCCATGACTTCGCCATTCTCGCTTGATAAAAACAATTCCAACTTTCATATTCAATATGTTTCAATCCAAAGGCGAAAAGACTTCAAGCATTGGAAATGTCGAAGATATCAACCAGCCAGCCAGCAATAACGTCGACTGGGACGAGGAATATTCGCCATCAGAGCAGCGCAAAATAATTCATCGCATTGATCGCCGGCTAATCCTGATGTCTGGACTTGCATACTGCATTTCGATGATTGATAGAACAAACCTCGGCATGGCCGCTGTGGCTGGGTAAGATATTCGAACCACCATACACCGGACAAAGCATTAATAAATGGAAAACAGCATGACAGATGATTTAAAACTAGCTGGAACACGATATGTGGGTGGTGATAGTGCCGTTCCTATGATACACTGTGTTGATCACTTGCTAATTCTTATAGTCGATTATGATCCTGATCTTCTTCGTTCCATATGTGCTACTTCAACCTCCAATGACCGTCGTAACGCGGAAGGTTGGCCCTAGGTTCTTCCTGGGCTCTATCATTTTGTCCTGGGGCGCAATCTTAATTGTCAGTTTACACTCACCCCGAAGCATCAGGCAAATGTGATACTAATATCAACATTATAGGGAATGGGATTCTCGAGGAATTGGAAACATATGGTTATGACTCGTGCACTACTGGGCGCTTTGGAGGCTGGTAAGTACTCCTATTTTGCTTGAATAACATCTCACAGATTTTTACTAATGACCCTCTAGGATACTTTCCCGGTTGTGTTTACCTTTTGTCTAGTTGGTATGTCCGCTGTAAGTACTAATCTACATGGAACGAGTCTGCTAGTGACTGACTTACAAATAGATGACGTCCAAAAACGTTTCTCTATCTTCTACCTCTTTGGCTGCGTGGCATCGGCATTAGCTGGTGTCTTGGCCTATGGTCTGTCACAAATGGATGGTATCCAGGGTATTCAGGGATGGCGTTGGATTTTCATAATGGAAGGAGTGGTACGTCATCCATTCTCCCCAATTGATTGACAAAGATTCTAAGATTTCTTTTAAGTTGTCGTGTGCCGTCGGAGTTCTCACTGTCCTTTTCTTGGTCGATTTCCCAGATCGAGCCCATAAATCATGGAGATTCCTTAACGAGAAGGAGTGCGCCTTCATTGTCCGACGAATCAACCGTGACCGAGCGGATGGAGATGCAGAGCCTTTCAGCTTAAAAAAGTTCCTAGCACCATCTCTGGACTTGAAAATTTGGGGGTTTGCAATGATATTCTTGTGAGTATGCTACACCATTGCCACACCACAGGATACCATTTTAACAGTGTGGCAGTTGCATTACAACGAATACCTATGCGATCTCCTATTTCCTGCCTATTATTCTTCGACAAGGAATGGGATATGGGGTTGCTGCTTCCCAATGCCTTGTAGCCCCGCCCTTTGGACTCGCTGCGATTTTGATGCTGATAACATCCTGGTTGGGCGACAAATACCGCATGAGAGGACCCATATTGGCATTTAACGCTCTAATTGGAATTATCGGGCTTCCAATCATGGGATTTGCGGAAAATAATGCTGTCAGGTACTTCGGTGTTTTCCTTGCTGTGGCAGGATCTAATGCCAATGTGCCTGCTTCTATGGCCTATCAAGCCAACAACATACGAGGACAGTGGACCCGTGCTCTTTCTAGCGCTACCTTGGTGGGATTTGGAGGTATTGGTGGCATTGTGAGCAGTTTGGTATTTCGAGAACAGGACGCGCCTATCTATCGTTTGGGGATGTGGACAACTATCGTGTGAGTCTTCTTCTCCCGTTTGAAGATACCCTTGCTAATGAATGGCTAAGTTGTAATATCTTGATTTTACTTATAGTGGGGGCATTGACTCTCTGGTTCCGTTATTCCAATAGGCAGGCCGATGATGGGAAGAAGATTATTGAGGGCTCACCGGATTTCAGATACACGATCTGATGGGATGCACCTGAAAATCCGAGATGTACGGAAAATTGAAGGAGTTGAAGGGATTGAGGATGAATGTCTTGGATCATTCGATCTTTTACAAAATTTGCTTAAATCCTAAGATTGTTTAAGAAATTTGTCTTCAATTGAAACGTAAATGGTTTCCTTAGAAACGCTGTGGTAATAGCACCATGCCCAATTCCAAACGCCCAGCCCATGCCAATAGATGCCTCATTATGTAAAGAACAAACAACATTATTTTATGGCGCATCGAGCATCATGAGGTCTGCATCAATGTTGTCGTCGTATTCGTCCACGACGATCCGGGATGCGGATGGGATCATCCCCTCCATGGCGTGCCCGTTGTTCACCTCCTCTCTCATCATCCGCTCTTCCTCGGTTCTCCTCTTTGCCTCATGGCGTTCGATGTCAGCCAAGCCCCAGGTGGAAATGCCTTCTTGATCTTTCGATTTGAAAGGCTGAGCCATGGTCCGCAGGAAATTCTTAGCATTTGATACAGCCATATCAGTGCTAAGATTGGTTTCGCTGTCCAACATTGCTTGGTTGATCCATTTGGGGAGTTGGGGGCGCTTTCGCTCGAATCGACGATCCGCCAACACCATGACTCCGTAGTCATCCTTGCCACGCAGGACACGACCCAGACACTGGGCGGCATGTCGAATCGCATCGAAAGATAAAAATTCGTTCTCTCGAATACGATAGTTCTCTCGCAAGAACTCGAGACGAGCCTTCAGAATCCGAGATTCAGTGTATTGGAAGGGAACACCAATACACAGCACTGCACGACCGTAATGATGATCGAAATCAATACCCTCGGAGACTTTGCCTCGAGCGACACAGAACAAGATCGCGCCACGTCCATTGCAACACGCTGTTCGGTAGGTCTCCAGGGCGAGTGAAGATTCTTGTGCGTCAGGAGTTTCGACGAGAATCAATTTGTAGTTCCAGATTTGGTCCAGAATACCCATACCTTGCCACATACTGATGATTGATTCCATGTACAGATAAGAGGGGAAGAAAACGACAACGCCGTCAGGTGTGATGCGAGCAAATTCGGTCACTAGACTTCCATAGTTTCGCACAACACCAGGGTCATTGCGAATTCCAAACGAAGATGAGACCTGTGCTTGATCGGATCCTCGAGTGACGATCATGGGCAAGAAAGATCGTCGAGCAAGTGTCATGCTGTAGGACTCCTGCAGGACAGCCTCAAAACCCAACATCTTCGGATACATTTCCAAGGGTGACAAAGTTCCCGAGGTAATGATCACAGAGCTGAAGCGGTCGAACACCGGCTTGATAGCAATGGCAGCATCCAAGCACGCGAAATGGAGGATGGGATTCGGTACAGTAGCCGCTTCGGACTCGAAGGGCTCGAGGATAAGAACAAATCCTTTGTCGTAAGTTGCGACCAGTGTTGCAAATGTGGCTACCTCCTGAAGAGGCTGGTAATCTTCAATGTTGATAAGTTCCAGCGTCCGTACAAGAGACGTTAAACGCTCGGCGCAAAATCTCAATGGCTTTCGTTCAATATAGGTAAGGTCTTTTAAATGAGTGAGGAATGAAGGAGGTGTCTCAGATATGGTATGGGTGACTTTCATCCGAGTCTTCAGATATTCGATAAACCTCTTCAAGAAAGAGATAAAATGCTCGGCCCGGCGAATGTTACCAGGAACGGCTTCCTTCAGTAGGTCATCTGGCAAAACCGGATTCGAGATGAATTGATCTTCTTCTCGGGCCTTCTCAGCTTCCTGCAGCCCCTCCACTAATTTGGAATATTCGTTCTTGAGCTTTTCCTCGTCGGTACTCTTCATTTCTTCGATCCTGCGTTCCAGGTTGTTTGCGCCCCGCGTCGCTTTGCGTAGGGAATCCTCGCTTAGGTCTATACTGAGCGATTCGATACAGACGTTGTCAATGTTGTGCGCTTCGTCAAAGACCACGATACAATCTTTCGAGAGCTCTCGCGATACTCGTTCCGCAATTTTCGGATCGAGAAGATAGTGATAGGAATAGATGATAATATTGCACCACGGCATCTAGTGAAGCTTGTTAGAAATGAACTTCGTGTGGTGATACTCGCTCAAGATCTTACCATGCGCCGAGCCGAGAAGTAGGGACATTGTTTGTGCTCTTCTCCGTATCTTGCCAATCCGTCCAGTGTGAAAACACCCGGGGGGACAAGGTTATGCGGTTCAAGTAAGTCAAGGTTCTAGGCCTGTTAGCTGGTTCAATGTTGTGTTGCAGATAGCAAAGCCCCACCTCATGGTAAACGCAAAGCTCAACATCTTCACCGCGCTCCTTCTTCTCTTTGACGAAACCAGCCGTCAAGCTCCTGCACCTGGCATCAACCACGGTACCACTTTTCTCTTTCTTCACTGAAGGGTGAAGACAGAGATTCTTCCGACTAGTCAGGCCCAGCGCACGAAAATCCTCCACATGACCCAATTCCTTAGCACGATGTTCCATCAAAGCCTTCAGCTCAGCTAAAGCTTTCTCGATCTCGGACATGGTTCGGGAGCAGTAGATGAGCTTACGGTGCTCCGGATAGTGCTGTTGGTAGGCGACAATCAACGACAGCAGCGAAACTGTCTTGCCAGTTCCCGAGGGCATTTCCAGCACACAGTTACCCCCTGCATCGAGGGTCTTTTTAAGATCACACATGTAGGCATATTGTTCGGGGTAGATGCGAGGATATGGAAACAGCACCGGAAGATCACTGTGATAGGCGGATATGGTTAGCTTGGAGACTAGATAGGACCACACACAGGGGACATACTCAATGAAGAACTTCATCTTGGCTGGGCTCCGATGCAGAACGCAAGAGGGCAAAGGATCAGAAGAGAAGAGAGCTCACTCTCATCTTTCGCGGCTCCGCCTTGGCGCTTGTCCTATTTGGGACAGCGATGACACAAACTCACGTGATGGCTATCTTGGTCCCGCGGATCTTTTGGAGGTCCGATATTGAATGTGCTTGCACCTTCTCACACGCGATGGAAGAGTGATAGAGCGTTCAAATCACATTCAAATCAAGAATTCACAGTCAGAGCCACCTTGCTATCACCGAAACCTGTCCAAACCCTCAATTTTGAGGTCCTCCCCCACTACTTGCTCATCCCGCTGACCTCATACCCCACATGAGCAAAAAGTTCAAATCCCAGGCCTCCAGCAGTCGCGCTGCTGCTAGTGCCTTTGGGTCATTCGGGGCATTCTCTGGTGGTCTCTCTGGCGAGGGAAAGGAACCGTCTGCTCTCACATACATTGCAGCGCCGCCAGATCTTTCCCGCATTGCGGCGCAACAACTAGTTATCGCATTCAAGAATTTACTGAAGAAAGATGACACTACCCGATTGAAAGCTCTAGAGGAGCTCCGTGACCATATATCAACGGTGGAAGAGACGAAAGGAACTCTAGACGATGGATTTCTAGATGCATGGGTATGTATAGATCGCTTCTATATAAAAAATACCAAGTAATAACATTGTTTTCTCCCAGGTCAGAATTTACCCCAGACTCTCGATTGATTTATCTCGGCGAGTACGTCAAATTGCCCATCCGATACAAGGTACAATTTCTGGTCTTGTTGGGAAGCGGATTGTGCCCAATTTACCCAAGATCATCGGAGCATGGATCGCAGGAATCTACGACAACGATCGACCAGTCCACCGTGCCGCCCTTGAATCGTTCACAAAAGTCTTTACAACCGAAGAAAAAAGAAACAACGTGTGGAAAATCTACCAAAGCTCCATTTTGGACTTTGTAGATGATGTCATTCTTCACCAGACAGCCTTGACATTGAGTGATGAAAGGACAGTGAAGAGAGACGACGCCGAGGGGAAATATGCCCGTGTTGCGGGAGCCGCAATTTTACTTTTCAACCGTGTATTAGGTATGTTAGACGTTTCTACCTTACACTACTCATCGTCTAACAATTCATTGTCTGTAGGCAACTCATCCGATGAAGATTTGCAGAAGAACCTACCCGAAATCGAGAACTTGCTAGCTAGCAAGAACTTGTGGGCTCTCTGTTACCACGACGATCCATATGTTCGCCGCTCCATTTACATCCTGCTTCGATCTGCGGTTTCCCGAGAGCCCGAATGGATTGACTGGAAGACTCTCAGTTCAGCCGTCATTGGGAAATCTTTGTGTCTCCAGCAAATCGGATCAGCTACCGAATTGTCAGAGTCCCTTCTCTCATTATCTTCCTTGAGGCCTCAAATATGGACAGATGACTACACAGGGAAATCATCTGCCTCGAAGAGATTGCGCCAGTACATGCAGAAAGGGTCTCAGGGTGGGCATTCTAACTTTTGGTCAAATCTAGACCAATTACTTCGAATCATCCCGCAAGAAGTACTAGCCGGTGCCGACAAGGCCACTGCTGACCATGGAATTACTTCTACCAGCGCAATTGCCTTGACTGAAGCTTTACAAGAAGGCCTCAACTCGAGAGAAGAACCGCGTTCAAACCTTGCTATCGGATGGAAATCCTATACTCAGATAGGAACATGGCTTGCAACATTGGTCCCTCAGGAGCAAAAGTCTGAATTTATCGCGAAGAGACTGTCTCCTTTGGTGGTCCAGTATGTGAAAATTGACCCAAAGCTGACACAATGGTCACTTCCGGCCGAGTTAGCCGAAGGAGCTTGTGTGGATTATGTCTTCACCCTGGCTTCCACTAAGCAGGCTCAGGAACTGCAAGCATTGTGTACATTCCTTTCCGATGGACTACTAGAAGCTGTGAAGCTATCATCTCCAGAACAATCAAAGGACTTCCGTGAATCTCAAGACTCAATATGTGCTCAAGCCAAACGCCTCTTG